TGGGAGCCGCAGCTGGTGCTGGCCAGCGGTGCGGGCAGCTGCCTGCCAGAGGTGTGGGCCAGAAAACTGGGCTGTGGCCATGTCTTCTATGCCAACTGGGGCAAGATGCTTCACCCTGGCTTTTGGTTGGTGGTTTCTTACTACCACACCATCATGGAGCCAGTGCAGGATGGGCAGAGTGGCACAAGGCAGGGCAGTGAGCAGTGCCTGGGTGCCCAGCTGGCTCTGCCTGCTGCTTTCCCACCATCAAGTGAGGGTCAAATACTTTCCATTGCTCCAGCTTTGAAGAGTCTTCTCCCCATCGCCATCAGAAATAGCCCTGGGCTGGGAGTGAGCTATTTGTGGTGCCCGGTTAGGAAGGCGGAATGCACGGAGCTCCCCAGACCTCCCTTCCCGCAGCCACGCACCCTCCCCAGCTGCTGAGCTAAAGCTTAAAAAATTCAAGTAGCTATACTTGGAGAAATGAGGTTTAAACATAGCAAAGCCCAGCATGGCCTTTAGTGAAAGGGCTCGGGAACAGCTCCCTCAAATCCTTCCTGCAGCCGACCTCGCTGTGGGTATGTGTTAGCTGCTCTCCAGACCCCAAACTCAAGGGGCCAGGGACCCAGTGCTGGGTTTGGGGCTTTTAGCAATCCCAAAAGTGGTGGCTGTTGATTGTTGGCCACCATCTGGAGCCATTTAGTGTTGCTTTTCTGTTTGGCACTTTTGGCCCTGGCTACTGAATATCTTTCTGTGGTAGCTCTGACGGTGGGGCCTCATCTGGGCTGGTTTGGTTGATACGAGGGGTTTGTTCACAGGTGAGGGCTGAGCGCAGCAGAGGGCTGTCCCCAGGGCCGTCCCCATCTCACTGGGCGCAGGGTAGATGCAGCCTTTGGCTAGGCCAGCCAGTGCCATCGCTGTGTCAGCCCTGGCCTTCCCCAGGCATTTTAGTCTCTTTAACCATGTTGGCACCTCCTGGTGAACGTGGGCCATTGCTGTGCTGCCACTGCCACCCCGGGTCATGTGTGCTGGGGAGCGGCCCTTGCTAATGCCTGTGGGCAAAAGCCCTGGAAAGGTGTAATGGTGGAGGTAGTGCAGGGTGGGGGTGCAGGGAAAAGCCCCTCCTCACTCTCTGAATCCAGGCTAACATGGTTCTCTGTCTCCCTGTGCCTCCGGCTATGGGGATAACAAAAGCCTCCTGCTCCCCTGGCTTCGCTTCCTGCTCACCTGCTCCCCATGGACCAGCCGAGCCCTTAAAGCCAGAGCCACAGCCACAGCTCAGCAACGCTTCACACAACCACTTCCCAGGGATGCTTCCCCTGTTCCTCAGTCACACATCCACCGGGACCCCCCACCCCCGCCCCCGCCCAGTCCTGGCTCTCCCTGCCACCTCCCGCACAGCTCTCATCATCTCAGTGTCGCGTCACAAAGTGCCAGGCATGTCTTAGAAACATCATCATTTATTGACTTGAACAACTGCCACTACAGCAGCAGCGTTTCCTGCTCAGATGTTGGTGGTGTGTTTTTTCTTTTTTCATTTTCTCCTAAAGTATTTTAAAATGGAAAAAAAAAAGATTAAATGAGTTTATGGTACTGAAACAACAGTCGAATTCGTTACAAGAGGGCCCTCGTCGTAATCCCTTTGCAGCGAACGGCACAGGCTGGAGTGAGGGAGGCTGCACCCATGACACAGAGGAAAACCGCAGGGCACTGCTGCCGCGCCTTCCCCGGGCTGGCTTTCAGGCACAAGGATCGCTTGCCCATCCCCACGGGGCAGCCCCGGTCCCCACACAACAGCCTGCAGCCGTCGCCCTCCTTGGCCAGGGACAAGCCTCGCCCACCACAACCTGCGATGAGGCTCCGCTTGCTCCGCGCCAGGCCAAGGACGAGGGCAGCTGTCAGCCGGACTGGAGTTTGCCGGCTCCCACCGTGGGGCTGGCCCCGCGGCACCTGCTGTTTCTAGTTAGGGCAGACACGTGTGGCCCTTTCACTCCAGATGGTGGCTGGGTTTGTCTTTGGGATGCTTCACTTTCTTAAAGCTGAGCGGACAGAAAGTTCAGTAACAGGCGGTAGGAAAACAAACTGACTAACGTAACGCTAAAGCAGTAGCTTCAGGCTCCTGGGTTAATATTTACTGCTGAAACTACAGGAGTTGAGGACACAGTGTGCAGCTCAGCTGTTTGAGAAACGCATTGGAAATCATGCACCACATGCCCATGATGAAAGAGAGCTTTGAAACACTGGGAGAGGATAATAAGCGGCTACAAGCCAAAATGTGTACAACTGCAGATACGCAAGAGCTGGAATCCCACCACCATCCATGATGGCCGGAGGAACAGAACCACTTACACAGAGAAACTCACGCCAAGCAGAGGGTAAACCGAGTGATGGAAGCCACAGCAACACCCTGGCTAACATGGGGACGGGAGAGTTGTAACCCAGAAACAGAGGGTTAAGGGCTGCAACCCAAGGGGCAGGAGGATTTTGATCATTTTGTCTCCTGCAGGGCCCAGCACATCCCTTCCTTCTCCACAGTGAATGTAACAAATGACAAAAACCGTTCACAGGACACCGTACAAATGAAAATCAAATGAAACACGTCATGGGAAAGGGAGAAACATGCGGCATCCCTAAATGTAATGGGAGCAGCATGACAGCACAGGCGGGCAGTCCAATCTGAATGCACCACCCAGGCAGAATCCATCCGCTTTTTGAACCGTCTGCAAAACTGAAAACAAGGGTCTCCTCCTAATTAGTGTTAATTTGTTAAAAGTTTCCGGACACTTTCAAAATGTGCCTTTGCAAGAATCACACCCCCCCAACCCATCACCCCAAGGGCCCCAACAAAGGAATCCGCTCCTGATCACTCCTAGAGTCACGGTTTGTCTTCAGAGATGCTTTGCTTTTTCCTTCTTATTCCTCTTCCTCTTCCTCCTCTTCTTCCTCCTCTTCTTCTTCCTCATCGTCATCTTCATCGTGGCAATGTGTGATTTCCTGAGGTGCCTGGGGGAAGAGGTTGGGCGGTTTGATCTCACTGATGGAGCGGGTCAGCTGATGCCGCTTGTAGTCAGAATCTTTAAAATCCACCGAGGTGCGATTGCGCGTGGCCATTGGCGACTCCTTCTCGTTGATGTCGACGTGCGTGTGCTCTACCGTGGACTCGTGCGGCATCTACACATGTGAGAGAGAGAGGAGGTGGCAAGGGGTGTCCCAGTCCCAGGGAGGGGAGCAAACGCCAAACGTGCCCCTTTGGCCCACGGTGCATCAAACGCCACCCAGCCCCCCAAGGCGCTGTTCCTGGTGCGTGCGGAAGGGTTAACGAACACAAGCGCAGGCACCTTTGGGACCCCTGCCCACCTCCCCGGGGTCTGCAACTCACCAGGACATGGGCGGCTCTGAAGAGGTAGCTGAAGGGGTAGTAGAGGAGGTTGATGAAAGAGGCTGCGTAGAGATCGGCATAGCGCATCACCTGGCTGGCAAACAGGGTCTGCCGAGAGCCGCTGCGGAAGAGGCTCCCCATCATCCCGTAGCACATGTCCATGTCGTGGGTCACTTTCTACAAGCAAAGGGCAGGTTAGATCCTGGGCCGGGCAGGCAGCAGCACGGAGCCCCAGCGCTGAAGTGGCGCGCACTGAGGGCTGGGGGCTATGCGAGATCTGCCAGCATCTCCAGCAAGGCTTTCTGCGCTCGTCTCCTGGGCATCGGAGCACAGCCCAGTCCCAGCTAGCAGAGGGGAAGGCAGCAGCGGGCTCAGGGCCAGCACCTGCCCCAGGCTGGCACCTCAGGGCTGGCTGAACCAGAAGCTACAGCCCCTCCAAGTGGGTGTGTGCCAGCGCCCCATTCCACAGCAGTGAGCACCGTCAGTCAGCGCTGCTGTGTGCCTGAGGAAGGAGACCCTATTCCAGACCAGGCTGCCTTTCAGGAGCGCTAGTGACACCAGTGAGCTGAGGAGCTCCTCTGTTTGCGTCCACAGACAGAATGGCTTTGCCAAGCCTGCTGTGCCCACCCAAAGGCAGAGCAAAGCATGTCAGGGCTGAGCAGTGGGGCTGGGCTGTCAAGCCCTTTGGGATCCAAAAGGATAAAAAAGGATTTTTATGACTGGTACCTTAATGCGTCTCTGGATGGAGCTGATGTCAGGGCGTTCATTGCTGCTACTGTCCAGATGCCTAGTTACAGGCGAGAAGGTAAATACATGGTGTGAAAAGCCTTTCAGAACCAGATGCTGTGGGATGGGGGCTCAGGGGAGGGAGGCTCGTCTGGAGGGGAAGGTTGGACTCGTGGGCAGAGCCCAGGCCTGAGTCAAAGCTCCGGCAGCGGTGCTGCTAACCCAACCCCAAGGTTTCGTCAGAGCCGCTCGTTAGCTGTTGCTAGGCTGGGAGAGGCAGCAGGAAAGTTGTCACTGTTTGAACACTCACTTGTATAGCTCGGCCAAGAAAATGTCCAGGCTCTGCAGCTCTTCAAAAAGGGCTGGAAAATCCAGGAAAGACAGGGGAAAAAAGTTTAAACTTACTTGAAATGAAAAGGGCTGAATGCAAACCCACCACCCTGCCTGCTCCCCTTGCCTGGAGGTGGAGGGGCACTGCATCAAGGAGCATGGCATCTCACAGCCACTGTGCTGGGAGAGGGTTCAGTCACGCTCTGTGCCACTGGCAGAGCTTTGGGCTTGGTTTCTGGTTGCCCCTTTTGTTTTTGAGGCTGAACCTTTGCAGCCCGCACCAAAACCTTCCAACCAGCCATGGGGCAACCTGCATAACCCCCAGACCTATTTACACACCAAAGGGCAAACCTGGGAGAAAAGCAGTAGCGCTGGAGGATGGGAAACACACAGCACTTTGGCAGCAGAGCAGCAGAGGGAGCGGGAGGAAGGAGGAGGAGGAAGCGGCTGGTGAGCAGGGACTCCCTGCAGATGGGAGAGCAGTCATGGCTCAGGCCTTACAGGGAGAATAACCCAAGTGTCGTCAGATACGTTTTACCAGAGGAGCCATGGCTCCACGCGGAGAGAGGGGGAGGAGTTTTTGGGGCAGGGTTACGGATGAGGAACAACTCAACCCCACCCAGCTGCAGCTTCTCCCCCCGCCAAGTCAGCACTTGGCTGAACACGTGCAAGTGGCCTGGGAAAGAGCTGGGACCCCGAGGCCAGCCCATGGAGAGCTGCTCCAGCTCCTGCCACCAACACCCAGACCCAGGGAAAAAGGGTCGAAAGGAGAAGGGGCAAGCCAGGGTGATCTCTCCCCTGCACCCCTATTCCCTGTCGATCTCAGGGGTGCAGCACCAGGCGAGCAAGAGCAAAGCCTGGCCTGGGGTTTGCCCGGCTGCTGACCGCTTTTGTCTGTCCAGACATGCAGCTCCTGTGCCAGCTCGGGGATCACCAGGAAGGTCCTCCAGCCCTGGCGCTTCTTGGATTTGAGGATGTCTCCAAAGATATGGTCTCCGATGTACAAGATATCCTTCCCTTTGGCCCCCAGCAGGTCACAGACTGTGTCCGAAGAGCCTGAGAGAAGAATGGCATGGCTCAGAACGGGGAGCCAAAAGGAAACGTGTGGCTTGTTTCAGAGGGCCAGGGTTAGGGACAGAGCAGGTGCATCTTCCTCCCAGAAACCTCCACCGCTCAATGTAGCACCCCTGCTTGGCCACGGCAGCACGGGGCACTGCCCACCCACCTGGGAGTTCACCCAGGGGCAGCTCTGCCCATGCACACCCCCACATGAACGCAGCAGCAAGGGGCCATGCTGCGTCCTACCCCATGTGAGAGTGGAGCTCTGGGCATCCCAGACAGTCCTGTATATCCACCCGCTGCCCTTCCCTGGCTCAGGAGACCCTCCAAGCGTGGTCACACTGGTGGAAGCACCGTAAGAACAGCTGGGAATGTTGCACTGGGCCAGCTGCAGCTCCTCCTCCACCACAAGCCCTGCAGTGGCATTTTCCAGACCCTGCCTGGCAAGGAAGTAGAGGGTGTTTGAGGAGGAACGGGTCCATTTCTTCCCTGCATTGGGCAGCAGTGATGATGGAGAGCTTCTGGTGCAGGGTGCAGAGGGCACAGCACGATGCACATCAGGAAACACAACCTTGCCTGGCGCCTGGCCCAAGTCCTCTCACAGCTGGAGCGGCTGAAGGCCACAAGGGCACACCAGAGCCACTCCACAGGCCAAGAAGGGTTCTTGCCTCACCTCCTGAGTACACGATGCCGTGCTGCAGTGGGCCAGTGTAGGTACCAATCTTCAGCTTCCCAGTCACCTGAGGAAGGAGACATCGTGTTAATACAGAACAGCTGATGGTCTGGATCTTTTCTGTCCTATTGATACTTTACTCTTTGTCTCTCTCACTCCCAGGCAGCCTAGAGGTGGCTTCCCACATTCTTTTCCTATTGCCACCTGCGGTACAGGTTAGGAAGCCAGCAAAGCCTCGAGTTCTGCTGTGCCCCAGGTGATGGGGTTACTCAGGAATCACTAAGAGGAGAAGCCAGCCCACTGTCTCTAGGACAGGTCCTGTCTAAACACTGTGTTGCCCATGACCACTAAAAGATGCCACAGAGGAGGTGCACAAGCCCTTCCAGCCATAGAGGTACCTTCCACATGCCACTCACCGTGTCCACCTGCCGCAGCACGGTGCCTTCCCCAAAGAAGAGGGGTTTTCGCGCATCCACCAGGATCAGGTCGAAGTAGGACTGCCAGGGCCGATGGGCACTCCCAGGCTGCAGAGGCGAAAACAAACCCCAGAATGAGGCACAACACAGTCAACCACAGGGAGTGAACCGGAGTGTCACTGTCCGTAGCCATAACCTCGTGACACTGCTGGCCCATCAAAATCCCCTAGCTCATGCCTCTCGTGGTACGGCACTGGGCTGCAGCGCCATCTCCTAAAGCACCCTCCTTTTGTGGCAAGCCCCTCCCAACCCAGACAAGCAGCGAGGACTGAGGATGTGGTGTGAGGCAGGACAACTGAGCTGAACATCCATGCCACAGTACAGCTGTCTCATAAAGAGATGCTGTAAATGACGCTGCTGCCACTGTTGAGCTATCAGTTGTGGTTATTTTCCATGTTCTGAAAATTTCTCCCGTAGCCACTTTCTACCTCTAGAGCACAGTGTGAAAACACATCTTTTGGGCATGAGAGAGCCTCCCACTGGGAAAGCGAGAAAGCAGTATAACTTCACGTCATAAACCTCTCTCCAAAAGGTGCAGGGCTGAGTTTTGACCTCAGAAAATCTGAAAATGCATGACTAAAAGTTTTGGAGTTACCATAGTCAAGACACAATCAGCCATAAATGTTTCTGCTGTCTTATAAAACTCTTTCCTTTCCATCAAGTTTTTTTTTTAACAACATCTAAAACACTGAGCAAGACCTCTAAGAAACCTGGCTGCAAAATGCCACAGTTAAAATGTGTTATCACTGAAATAATGTTATCATTAACACAGATTATTGTTTGAGACCAGATGATGCCTCTTTTCTCTTTGTTATATTGTGTTTGCTTTGATCCCATTCAAATAGGACACAAAACAGCAAGTGCACTTTAACCAGATTAAAGCAACTAATCCCATGCAGCCAATGAAGCAGGATTAAAATGCTTTCCAGCTACACAGATAATTAGGCACATCAGTTTCTATTGGAGCTGCACTCTAGAAACCACATACCTTTGGTCCATGTGGAAAGTCAAACAAGTAAGTCATAATTTTCTGAAAGACAGAAAGAAAGTATTCAAAGATGCGTTTTTGAACGTACATTTGTGTAGTTTATAAAAGCATGCTTTTCTGCTTTTACCTTTTCAGGTTATTTTCAGGATTTACATGAAAGCCAGCATAAGATTTGGAGACAAAACAAATGGAGGGAATTTAAAGTTACAGGAATTAAGCCAGTAATTTTTATCATTGAAGAACACATTTGCCTCAGAAATCTGCACGCTGCTTCAGGTATAGCTCACAATGCTTTAAAATGCTGTATAAACCTTGACATTTACCTGGAGTTGAAGTAATTGTGTTTAATCCTACAGCACAGCAGAGAGCCCTTCCTGGCTCTTAGACCTCTCCAGGACCATGGCTTTGGTGACTCAGACTATCTCGCTTGAAAGGGAAGTTCTGCATTTGAAATCTAAAATGAGCATCACTTTCTCTTGCAACTTGTTAATTGCTGAGAACTGAGTGAGGCACAGAGGGACTTAAGCCAAGTCCATACTAGGTCAGCAGCAGAACCATGGCTACAAAAGATGACTTGACACCTAGTCTGCATTCGCCACTAAACCACCGTACACCTAGCTTACAAAACACCCGATTCTCCACCAGAAGACGTCCTACCAAAACCCCCACAAATGAATGGCTGGCTTTTGCTTATTCCATTATATACCAACATAACAATTTGAGCAGCACTTACGTCTGTGTATTTATAATCGCTGTTTGTGACGAGAAACACCTTCCCAACTTCATTCATGCGGCTGAGCAGCAGTGGCAGCTTCCCCTGAAGGACAAGGGACGTACAAGTCGCACACGAAAGTTACAGAGGTTCATCATGGGCAAAACACTGTCAACTATGATCCCACCAGACAAAACAAAACTAAACAAATCAAACCATCAAGCAAGCAAACTCAATGTTTAGCACTGGCCAGAGCCAGGAAAGCTGCTGGTCCCTCCCCGTAACACTCCTCCAGAGCACAGCCCAGGGGAGGAAGGTGAGGGGGAAGGGCTCAGTGCCTTTGCCAACCTCAGTGCCAGGCACCCTATGCTGCTATGACTGATCTGCTCTGTGCCAGGCACGCTGGAGCAGCTCTTCCAGCTCCAAGTCCGTTCCCAAAATGGGCCCAGAAGCAGGTGAAATCTGAGCTCACACGAGCCGCAAGTTGGAGCACACTGTAATTCCAACCTCAAATTAAGGAGAATTTATTCCTGGGGCTATTTTTATTGAATCATAAATCTCAGTCCATTGCCAGAGTAGATGATTACCTCACAGAATGGTTTCCCCACAGAAAACATGGGCAGGGAACACAGTTGCTTTCACCACCAAAAGAAACGAGCCTTGCCAGCGTATTCACCTGTGTCCTGTGATAACAGTTCCCCTGGCTTTTACATTTTACGTAAAAAACGTGCATGTGAATACAAAATCATGTGGATCGCTGGCTCAGAATAAAGGCTGCGTCCGAACTTTCCACTTTGTCTTTGGTTATTACAATAGAAATCACAGCGTTATCTGTTTTGTGATTTAGTAAAGCAAATCAGCATGTTTATTTCTTGCCTGCTTACTCAGTACAGAATGTCACGTAGCACAAGTAAAGTAACATCACACTTACATCTTTCACCACATACTTTTCCAGATTCTCAAGGGTCTTTTCCTTGAGCGATCCCTGAAATAGAAACAACAGAACCCAGTGAGGTAATGGAAACTTATGACGTAAGAGACATCAAAGTAATGCCAACTTTCACACTTTAAAATGCTGTGAAAGTACAAACCAGGGCGAATCTGAACCAGTGACTCTAGAGATGAGAGGCTTTGAGTAGCAGGGACCATCACAAACTCTGTGATCCATCGATTCCCTCACCATGGTAAATAATCCACTTCAACAGCATTTTAACCCTTTCAGAAGGGAATACAATAGAAACAAACAAAAAATAGATTTGCCATACCAAACAAGACAGTCAACGACCTGTCTCCAACACTGACCATAGTGCTTTACTAAAAGGACAACTCCAACATGTTTCACACAACACTGCATAAAGAAAGAAAAACAGATTCCTGACTTCTGCATGGCTAAAAAGACCACCACAAGTACAACCGTGAGCAGAGTTCTCCTGTGACGGTTCTCCATCCCACCCCAACAGACCTCTTGAATGAGGAGGAACAAGAAAATCAGGTCTTTAACCAGATGTTAATGCTCGCAAAATTATATTCTACATTTGTGCACAAGTGTGTGAAAAAAGATGAACTGCCTCTCCTCTCTAAATAGAGAAAATTTGATGTATTTCTCTGTTTAATGCAGGTACTTTTGAGACAACATACGATAGTACCAATGCAAACCATATACAGTAAAATGCTGTTTTAATAATTAGGACAATGTACAAGTTGTGGACTGTAAGTGCAAATACCCTCATGGCATCACGTTCTAAACCCCATCAATTACAGTATAGAAATGGAATCTGTGCACAATAAAAAGGAATAGGAACCCAAGACAGATATGTTCCAGTACTAGGAGGGCAGTCGAGATCTTGATCTACATACAACTGCAATTTATGATTTGCTCACTAGGCGGCAAAGCAGGGCTCTTGCCCAAACGTGGAGTAACACATCTTAACTCATGAGTTACAAACCAGTCCCTCTAACTCAGTCACAACTACAGATGTCCTGAGGAGTTCTTGCAATCACCTTGTAATGAACCCAGTCGACAGCATCTCTGACATCCTGGAACATGCTCCTGAAGGACATGAAGAGGTCTCCATCTTTAAACCCCGTTTCACAACTGTGAGGAGAAAGAATAAGAGATTGTAGCGGCCAGTCGCATCAGGTACGAAACACGTCAAGGAGAGAGACAGTTCAAAATGTTGTTTGGAGCTTCTGTTTTCATCTTACCATAATGGTTCCTTATTTACTACTTTACCACCGCTCAGACTTGAAAGAAGGCTACAACCAGAGTTTAACAGGATCTGCGTGTTACTCAAGAATGTTTGTTTAAAATTCTAGGATGTGAGTTCCTAACTACAGGCCTGTGCCTCCATAGCAGTACTGCAGCTTTCTGTGGCTGCTATTCTTATTCCCCAACCCCCCTCCGCCCCATTACAGGAAAAAGACTGGGACTGTGCAGTTTGCAGCATTTCACGAAAGATGAATGGTACTGAGAAAGTAAGCAGAGTGCTGTCTTTTTCCCCTTCCCAACACTAAAGAAGGGGGTGCCATGGAAACCAACTAAATGTAGTACTTGCTGCTGAGAGAGGAACTACTTCTGTTTTGAACAGTCAGAGTTAACACAAGAAATTTCCTCTACAAGAGACTGCGGAGGTATCTTTGAGACACCCATGAGAGTTTGCATGAGAAGAAATCAAGCGATTGTATTTATTAGGACAGCAATCATCACGCCTGTCCTGAGAAAGGATACGTCACCTGATGGATCGTTGGGATAAGCAGTTCCTCTGCTCCCAGGTAAAATCCCATTAAACCTTTGCCTTCCACTCACATATCATGCAAAGATGACCCATTGCATGAGTCAGCAGCACAGCAGCATTCATTTTTGCCCGTTAAACCACAGCTTGTTTTTACACTTACACCTAATTGAAAGCTAGGTAAACACTCATGCTGCACAAACAGCCTTGTACACCACACTGTGCCTGAGCATTTCACCTTTAAGTGAACAAAATCCTCAATTATGACACGAGGGGCTTGTGGTAACTGGCTGAGGAAATTTAGCCTTTCAGTTACCAGTTCAAACGCAGCTCCAATGGACACAGATCCAAAATGAGCTGTCTGGTGCTTGTAATCACCCTGTAGTAAGTGTATGGTCTGAGAAGCTGGCCGAAATACCAGCTGGTGTCAGTATGGTGATCACTGACCCTGTGAAGGAAACCCTCATAACCAGACTCTGCTGTACACACAGATCATCTTGTCACCTCTTAACGTCAGAAGAATAAGAGGCCTGAACTTTTCCCCACCAAAACCACTTGAAGGGCCTCTACTGATATTCAGAACAGCTCCACCTGTACTGCTCTTTATAATAACCATCTTACTGTACCATCAGCACCTCAAACCGGAGGGAATATGTACCTAGTGTACCGGTCACAGTTAGTAAAGAAATCCACTAGGCAAGCCAATAGGTAGGTCTCTGCAAAGAAACAAAGGAAGATTTTAAAACAAGGATAACATCATATGGCCAGCTAACTCTAAGCCCTGTGCCCAAAAAAAAGAAAGTCCATGTAAAAAAAAAAAACAAAATAGACAACAAAACAAATAGATAAGTAGAGTACAACATTAGCAAAGCCTTTCTGCCTTCAAAGGCACAGAAACAGGCCTGTGTTGGCTCACATTAGACTCACCTGGTAGATTGAATAACGTGTTCAGAATGTAAAACCTATCTGTGTCATCCCTCTGGATAAATTTATTTGGATATTGATCCCGTGTTTCAGGCCTGAGAATAGACAAGGTGGAGAAGAATAAAACCACAAAAAATAACGAGGATAAAATGTGCTGACCTGCAAAATATAGTGGTAGCTGGGTCCATTAACTAGAGTCTGTTGTGCTTTAATCAACACCCAGCTTTCCCACGCGCAGTAGCAGAGCAAGAGCAAAACTCCATCCACCGGCGTTCCCTTCAGCGCTGGCCCCGCAGAGCCGGGCACAAAGCCCTCCTCGCCGAGTCAGCACACCGAGCAGAGCCCACACAGGGAAACCGAGTGGTCGAGAGTCCACAACTCGACCTTAAGCCCCATGCTGCTGCCTATGAGGATGCCTTAAATCATCTGCACTTTCATTGTTTGCTTATCTTAAACTTTCCCCCGCTTTCCATGTGTTGCTTTACACTCCCCCGAGCAGCTTCCAAAAGCAGGGAGTGCAGGGCTGTGCTGCGGGAGGCCTGCCTGGGGCCCTCTGCAATTAATCATCAGGGTGGCGATGACTACAGTAATTTAATTATTCTGGTTTCCTTCATTTCTGGAGCTTCTGAAGATCGCCTCTGACTCAAATTGGAACTTGAGTGCCTATATAAGAGCTCTTTCTAAATTTTGCCTTCCTGATGCAAGGCCTGCAATGACAAGGAATGTCAGTTTGGGGGTCCTGAGCCGGCCTGTGCTTGGCTTCCACCCATCCACCCTTACAGCAGGGGTACGAGGGGATTTGCTGGGACACATCGAGCACGTAGCACTGTGGTCCCCTCTGCTTCCTCAAGCACCTTCTCTGGGGCAAGAGAAACGCAAGCAGCCAGGGAAGGCTGCAGGAAATGCACGCGACGCCTCACTTCTGACACCCTCAAAGGTCAGAAACACAAGGGGTAGAGCAAGCTTGTTCCTTCCCCAGGCTAGCTCAGGCCCTAGAACTTTCTTAGCAATAGCTGTGGAGTTAACAGTCTCATGGGGCACAGGTCCTCTCTGCTCCCAGCAGTCCTCACACAACAGCTTTGTCTTAACTGACAAGCTGCTGATGTTAAACTGTGCCAGGACAGGCGAACAGCCCCTGGATTATCCCATCAGCCCCTTCCCACAGCACACTTTCTTCTATTCCCAGCCCACATGGACCTTTCCTCTATAAACACCCTGGGCTGTTGCTGTGTCTGAGACCCTCAGTGCATCCCCAGTCAATCCCAGAGCTGCAGGACCACCAATACAGCATCTGCTGTTAGTGAAGCCCCTGCGACTCCTTATACAATGGGTGCCCCAAGGATCAGCGACACAAAAGAGCGCGTGAAGTCAAAAAGAACAGCCAAGAGTCAGCACTCACCCTCTGAGGAAATTAAAGCCGTGTGCACACACTAGGAGGTTCCCATAGGCATCAACTTTCAACAGGTTACCATAGTGGGTATCAAACACCAGGCCTCTGTTAAGAAAGCGATTTAAAAGATGAAGAAGTGAGAGTATTAAGCGGTGACTGTTTTAATAGCAGTTCTTTCCAAATCAGCTCTAGAACAGCTTGCTCACTTGGCGTGGGGCATCAGAACAGAGTTGCTGTTATTATGCAGATGGGCTCCCTACTGTCCCTTTTACCTGACTGCAGGTGAGCAACAAGAGCCCTGCACTGCCAGGTGAAAGGTACAGCTGATCTGCTCTCCATAGACTGGAAAACAGAACCGTTTAACCCAGCAGAGGCTCAGCTATGCACGTACCAGGGAAGACGTGGGCCTCTTCCACAGGGTCACGAATCTGACACCTGTGTTTGTGGTTCCCTGACAGCCCTGCTGGGCTACAAGGAAGAGTGAGGTGTGATAAAGGAATTTCTCCCCTCTTTTTCGTCGCTCTTTCACAGACAGAGCCAGATGGGGTATGTAACTATCACACAAAATGCTTTGGCTATTCCCAGTTCCAACTCCAGCAAAACTCTGTCTCACTTATCTAGTAGCTGGCACCTGGAGAACGCAGCCTTCCCTTCTGTCCCCTCCCTGGGATGAAGGCAGTGGATTTAATGGAGTCTTCATCACAGGTTTGTGAAGGGCTAATGTCCAGTTATGGGCATGGGTGCACCCAGCATCAGTCTCGGTGTAAAACATGCTGACAGGAGGGAAGGAAGGAGGCTGCCAGACTGAAAACTGGAACAACAAGCCAATAGACCCTCTGGTCAAGTCTTTTGTAAAGAAGCTCCAAAGGAGTCAAAAAAAGCAAAATCCAGCAAAGGCACAAGTGGAAACAACTTAAAGCCGCAAAGTTAGATCAAAAGCATTGTTTAAAACAAGCAATGTCCTTTTTACCTCTGCTACCAAAAGACAAAACGTAAGAATTTAGTAACTTTGCACCATTAACACAAAACTTTCGGTGTTCGATTTGTCTAGATAAGTGAACTGGATTGGTCCCACTTTTATTGTTGTTTACTCTCAGGTTAATTTTCAGGATGTCTTATGCACCAGGACACTATTAATTCAAATAAATAAAAAAGTTCTGAGACATTCTAGCAGCCTCAGGGACAGTAATGGCTCCTTCTCTCCTTGATTTTGATTCAACTCCCAATCTAATTGTGTCTCTGCTGTCTTTGCTTTGAAGGGTTATTTTTGGACCATGTTTTCAGTGGGCCTCTTTTCTTGCACGCTCCCTCTTTGCTGGCATGGATTCATGTGTGCAAAGGCCCTTCACACACTGGAGCAATCTGCTCCCCTCCCCATGATCTGTGGTCAACCACAGGTTTCACAGGCACAACTCGGAAAACCTGGCCTCACATGTTGCCTATGAACTTTACAGAGCAAATATTCAAGGCCTCGAGCAGGCTGGGTGGGTATCTGTTAGTCATTTACCTGGTAGGGAATGCAGGATCATACACAAAATTGAGCAGCTCATGAGGGTATCCAATGGAAACTAATCTTTCTACGGTCAGGTCAAATCCAAGAGATTCGTATTCAGGGGATTTATACACTGTACCAAGATGAGATTTCAGTTAGAAAATTTGAAAACAGCTAGGGGGTTAAACAAGAAGGCAGTTAAAAGTAATGTACCCGCTCGCCCTCCTCCCTCCTCCACATCACAGTTCCCTTCTTTGCTCCTGCCCTTCGCTGCCTCGGGTCCCCCAGCCCGGAGCCACAGTGGAATTAGATCATGCTCCAGGACTGCAGCCGAGCGGAGCCGCAGTTCAGGTTTCAGCAGCAGAGCACACCAGATGAAATACCCATCAGGCTATCACAGCTCTCTGCATCAGGAAAAATGTATTTCAAACTGCAGCTCCTCTCCCTGCAGTCCCGTTACGCAGATGCATGAATGCTCCCTGTTCCACCTGCTCAGATCGGGTTTTGGTTTGCTGTGTTTTCGCAAAGCTGATGAAGAAATCAATAAATTTTGGGAGCACATGTACTCATGGTTAGAAAGCCTGAAATTCGTGCTGCTGTGCTACTGTTACTGTTCTGGATACAATCCCAAAGATTAGTATTTCATCTTAGGGGAATTTATGTTTGCTGCAGGCTAAGTTAGCTTGAAGGTAGACCTGTCAAGTTAACATACGATTTGTTTTTTAATAATACCATATGGTACTGTAAAAATCTGTTAGCTATTACCCTTGTGCATCAAAATGCTACTCTTATAAGTAAGCTTACTGTTCTCACATTTCAAAGGAGCTGCTGATATGTGACCCACACCTTAGCTCAATGCAAAGAAATGGACTTGTTCAACCAAGTCATTCCTACCATCAGGCCTGTCTTCTTCCTGCAAATGACCTTCCCATTTACTGGAAATGTTATTGCTTAATCAGATGATTAAATTAACATTTAAAAGGAAATCACTGTGTTTCTCCAACAGATGGAAATGACTGTGTTTCTCTGAAGGTGTGTGTACATTTGCAGCATGTCACTGTCTTACATTGGCCCTCAGATGTAACAAGGTCAAATACAACCCTTGACTGCAATGAGGGTTACTGTGGGCTCAATGGGCCAAACTGTCTCAAACACTTAAATATTTCAAATTAAGCTGAGTAAAATACAAAAATGTGCAAGTTAGACAGTAAGCTCTTTAGAAGCCAGACTGCTTTTCCTGAGAGAGATCTAGCACATCTGTGGGCCTCACAATATATATCAATACACATTGTCTATACTGCCCAGGTAATCACCATCATATATATATATATTTTTATATATATATATATACACACACACATACTGTGGAATACACAAGCTTAATCTGATAAGAGAAAACAAATATATAAAATAGTATAAAAATACTAAAAAGGCAAGGACTATAGAAGAAAAGGGACTGTCAAAAGACTCAGCTCATACTAACCATGACAGAGGGCTCCCATATCTCTTACTAATCTAAAAGGCACCAGAATCCTAAGAGTAAATTTTTCCCATTAAACTGACAGCATTAAAAACATAATAAGAAAACCTGTAATGTTCTCAAACAGACAACTAAAACCAATAAAACAGTTATCAAAATCTTCAAGCATTACTATACCAATTGCAAACATCAACAACATGACACAACATTCAATGCACGTAGTCTTTTCTGTCCTTTAAGAAAGGAAGGGTTGATGAGCTATAGATAGAAATAAGTAATCAAAAACTACAGCTAATGAAGAAAGCAGTGACTGACAAGGCAATTCTGGGGAGTGAGATAGAGTTGGAGGGAGCAAAAGGCAGTTAGGTGATGAACAACATTGTGAGAGTGACACCAGAGCATCATCTGGAAAAAGGAATTCCTCTGATGCAGGGCAGTAAAGGCACTTCCCAGGGAAAATGGTAATAAATACACCTGCACAAACTCTCAGAAGGCGAAAGCGCTGCAAAGCTCCTCGTTCCGTGAAGCAGTCTCCAGTCCCTGGCTCTGTCTGTGAAGCTGCTGACGAGCTTTCTGGGAATCTGACCATGTTACCAACTTATCCATAAAACATCACGCCCAAACAAAACACTTCTCCAAGGAAACCCTGCTCTTTCTGAACTCACCAATCATGGTGATGCTGCCCAGACACAAAGAATCTCAAGGAGCATGTTGGCATCTCCTCTGGACAAGCAGAAGTGGTTCATCAACAGCTCCAGCAGGATCTTTCCAAAGAAACTAGGGCTTTCTGTTAAATAATCTATGCATCTTGTTAACACTCCACTAGACAATAGCTGTGGTGGGATATTTGGCCAGCTGCTCACAAAATGCCCTCACTCAATTTCTACCTTTCTGCAGTTGCCTCTCTGTCTTAGATGCATCACTACAGACCTCCTTTTAACTCTCTGAGTCTAAGGAAACAAGCTGAAGCACCAGTAGAAAAAAGGCTGAAGAACAGGTATCAACCTCAGCTCTCATCACCCCAAGTCTCTGGTGAGGCAGTACTGCAACAGGATTAGTCTGAATGTTTCTTGTTGAGGGGCAGTTATTCCCCTTACCTCTCAAGCTCCAAATTTTGCTTCCTTGATGTCTCTTTGAATAAAGTAAACTACTAGCTCATTCATGCTTCAAGTCCCTTCTCTATTTTCCTACTACTCCACAATATTTGAAAAATGAGAGCCTTCTCCTTGACACACAAACTAAACAGAGACATGGGAAACTGGACTCCTGGAAACGGGAAAGGGACAATAAATGTTCTCCAGTTAACCATCATACTTACTGTTCAAGATACACTGTCCTTTAATTAGACGCACTGCTGGGAACAGACTGTGAGCTCACTGAGCCCACCTTGACAGCACCCTACGCCACAGCACATGCTGCATCCATCGGTACAAGCCACAACCCACTGACATCTCTCATAATGCCTGTTGCAGTAACATAGGCTTCCGGGCAAACAAACGATCCACCTCCTTCAGATCAAGTATGAACAGGCTAACACTGCTGCAACTACAGCAACACATTCAGGGAAGATGCTCCAGTTATATCCATTACTAGATGAAAAAACGTATTTAAATATTGTACTCTGTGCTGTTCGCTCTCTCTCTCGTATCTTGTTTACTTCAGGCATCCCTGAGCAGAGAGGACAGATCAGTATTTTTTTCTGCAGCTGCACGATGAAAAAATAGTTTTAAATTCTCCTGGAACATCCCCCTCCCTCAGACCTGGTTGCTGAGCCCACAACTGGAGATAATTTGTGTGCCATGGTAATGCCATGAATTCAGCTGTTTGCCATGCAGTGTCTCCCGTGCTCAGCTCTTTCACCCAGAGAAGGGCCCAGCCTCCAAGTATCCCCAACCCTGTGACAGGTGAAGAGGCAGAGCCACAAACCCATTTTCAGAGCGTCCCTGCCCAACGCATGTGGGACGACAGGAAAACCAAAGCACATGCTACAACTTATTTTGATTTCTTTTTCTTACTGCTTGATGGCCATGTCTCTGCCACCATGCCAAGTCCCCGGCTCCAGAGGATCATGTTATTTTAATAGTCTGTGTTCCAACACTTGCAAATGCTGCAGCGGCGCAGGGCAATCGGCACACAGCGCTCGGGGATTATGCAACCAGGGTGGAAAGAAAACAACCAAAAGTTTAAAAAAAACAGAAGCCAGTTGACAGTATTTCAGCCTCCCCTTAATACCACCACTTGGCTTAGCATTATACTATCGGAAGGAAAAAGCAGTACCCCGGGAGTGAATGTTGCAAGCCTTCAGGTCTGTGATGAGTGCGGGCATCCCTTACACAGTACGTGCTAGGAGGGAAGCCAATCTGGAATGAGCAGGAGTTGTGCAGTAAGGTATGCAATTCTCATGCATTTGTGTGGTTGTTTTTACCTTTGCTGCCAAGACACATACAGTAACAATTTTATAGCCTTCCTGAAAAGGAAAGAAAAAAAAATTCTCTACAGAGGCTCCAGCTTATGCAAAATGCCGCTGCCAGGATTTTAACTCACATGAGGCAGATGCAGATTCAGAGTGTCACTCCAGTCTTGACGGAGTTACACTGGGCTCCCCTGTTAAAGAAAAAAATCAGACTGATTTTAAAACTGCAACAGCTCTGTGCCATGTGGGACTGTATCTGCTGGAGCTCTGTCCTCTGGTAAGCTCAGAAGCCAGCGTGGCAGCTATTCCAAATACACTTACAGCTGATTTATAGAGGAGGCACAGTTGGTAATCGTGCATCCTGCAGGCAAAATTCTGTCCTCATATCCACAAAGCAGTCTTAGATCATCAGCTCAGTGATAATTAGGAGGAAGAGGCTACAAGCACATTGCCCACGTGACACAAACCCTTTGAGTTTCTCTCAGACGCAGAGCAATTGGCTCAAGAAGGGGTCTTGTGCTCTTTTTGGGGCTTTGCCATTATTGTCCATTCCTCAGTCGGTGACAGATTACTCCTTTCAGGGCACTCACTTTCTTTCACACCACAAAACGCCTGCACGTGTCAGCACAGGAGACTCGGGAGACTGAGTCAGGAGCTACTCTGGGAATCTGAGAAGAGAATTTTGCCCCACATCTGAAGGCGCTCCCAGTGAGAGCCTCGCACGCCGGGTCAGTCTGACATAGCACGTCTAAATTCAAAATTAACAGGCTTACGCTTGGGCTTTTATGTGCAAAGCACTGCAGGATAAACCGGCATCAAACCTGCACACGGTGTCGCACCGTGTTGCAGCGCACTCGTTTGCAAGCACACACAGTAAGAAGACCAGACCTATTTTGCAACTTACAGGTATGCACAGAGTAATTGGGAATAACTCTGAGATCCAATTTGCACTAAATATAAAGCTGAGTGAGTTGGAATGACGCTGCTAAAAGGACCCACAGCAGTATGCAGAAGTCCTGGAAAGCTTCTCTGAAAATAAGTGCTTAAAGCCTGTTCTTTTCAAAACGAATAGCTGGGAAGGCTGTAGTGCATGTGACAGCTCTGTTTAAGCTTCAAGCCCCACAAGGGCTGCCCATTTCTTTCCTTGTTCCTCCTCCACACACACAGATTTCAAATTCAGGCAGGGCAGCTTCTCATTGAAGATGTAACATGGTTTCTTCCAGGGCTTGTTGACACTTCT